CTGGGGGCCTGGACTCCTGGGTCTGAGGGAGGAGGGCCTGGGGGCCTGGACTCCCGGGTCTGAGGGAGGATGGGGCTGGGTTCCTGGACTCCTGGGTCTCAGGGAAGAGGGGGCTGGGGGCCTGGACTTCTGTGTCTGAGGGAGGAGGGGCTGGGGGCCGGGACTCCTGGGTCTATGGGAGGAGGGGGCTGGGGACCGGGACTTCTGGGTCTGAGGGAGGATGATATTGGGACCCAAAGCAGAAGGGAGGTGGGCTCAGGAAACGTCCCCGATCCAGGGTTCTGGGGATCCGAGATGGGAAGACGTGGGGACGCCCGGGGCGGGAGGGGGTAGGGGCCGGGCCGCAGTAACAAAGGCCTCTCCCTCCAACAAGCAACCCCCCCTCGGCCCCGCCTCCCCGGCCCCCCGCCTCCCCTGATTGGTCGGCCTTCCTGCCCGTCAGCGCCGCCCCCCTCCCCGGGTCTGCAGCAGCTCCGGCCGCCTCGTCGCGCCCCCCCAGCCCCCTCCCCCCGCCCCCGCCGCCCCCCGGGCCGGTGCAGCCGCAGGCGGGGTCCCCCTCCCCCTCCCCCTCTCCCCCCGGCCTCGCGCGCCCCGGACCGGCCCCCCCTTTCCCCTCCCCCTTCGCGCCGCCGCTGCCGCGATGCCCCCCCCTGCGCCCGGGGCCCGGCTCCGGCTTCTCGCCGCCGCCGCCCTGGCCGGCCTGGCCGTCATCAGCCGAGGTACCGCAGCGTCGGGGGCGGGGGGGCTCGGTCGGGACATCGGGGTCCCGAGCCGGGATTGGGGGTGGGGGGGCTGCATCCCGGGCGGGGAAGGGGGGCCCCCCGGGCGCTGAGATCTGGGCCCCGGGGCGGGGGCTGCAACCCCTGGCTGGGAAGGGGGGTCTCGGACGTCTGGATTCGTGCCCGGGGGCAGGGTTCCGCGTCTGGGGGCTCGAGCCTGGGGCCTAGGGACGGAGGTCGGCTTCTCCGGGCCGGGGAGAGGGTCGCGGACACCTGATCCCGGCCTGGGGGCGGGAGTCTGCGGCTCCGGATCAGGGAGGGGGATCAAACGCTAAAGTAAGGGTCCCTGGGCAGGATCTCTGAACTGAGTTGGGGTGTGGAGGGGAAGTAGGCTGCCCCGTCGGGGGTCTTCATCTCTGAGTGGAGACAGTCCCTGAGGGGGTCCTGGCCTGAGGGCTGGGGTGGGCGTTTTGGGGCAAAGGTGGGGGGATGGTGTCTTCCCAGGGTCTGTAAGAGAAAGTGGCAGGGGTATCCACAGACTTCCATCCCAGGGCCAGGGAAAGAAGAGGGGCTCTGGCCTCCCAGCTGGGTCACCTAGGTGGGGAGAAACTGTTGGTGTTTGGGAGGTTGCAGTTATGTAGGGGAATGGAGCTGGTGATCCAGGAAGTCGGGGGCACTGGGCTGGGGACTCAGATGTAGGCAGCTCTGGCTGAATAGCAGGGTTCAGAGGCTGGACTGAGGATGAGAGGGGGCAGATTAAGAAGGGAGGGAAGGGAAGGGTTAACACAGGGTCAAAGGGTTAATCGCAGCCCTACTGAGATTGGGGACCAGTGGGGCTGGGGGCTGGTGTGTGAAGTGCGGAAGGGGAACCTGGGCAGCCTCTGGAGAGAGGATGTGGATGTCTGCTGGACCCTGTGTCTCCCCGAGGCCCAGGGATGGTCCAGAACGTACCCCCTGAGGAGAGGAGGAGAGCGAGCAGGAAGGCAGGAGGCAGGGATCAGGGTTAACTCGGTGCTTCTGGAGGATTCCCCCAGGCCCTGCCCTGAACCAAGGATTACAGTCAGGGATGCACAATCAGGGACAACCTAGAGTCTTCACCAGTCTCAAGGAGGCAGCCACTGTCAGCCTCCCACCCACACACACCGGGTCACGCACAGACACATAAACAGCCGTCACCGAGTCTGACCCAGAGCCGCACGCGAAGACACCCAGGCACACAAACGCAGCCCCATGCACGCAGGACCCCCCACCCCAGGGCCTCGGCAGGCTGGAGCCTCAGCGGGTTGGCGGTTCCTCCAGCCTGACCCGTCTGAATCACCGTCTGACGCTCGGACTGCTGTCTGCATCTCTGTCTCTGTCGCTCGTCTCTTTAGGTCATTTCCACAGGCTCCCTAGCTCTGGGGGACATCCCATTTGTCTCTGTCTCTGGGTCTCTGTCTCTCCACCCCTGCCGGCCTCAGCACAACTTCACATCTGTCCCTTCCTGCCTCAGGAACTGCTGCTCATCGTCACACACGCGTGCCTGTCCCCTCCTGGCCCCCTCGGTCCTCGCTCCCTTCACTCCTGGGAATTCATGTCCCATCACGGTCACCGACACCTCCCATTTTTGCCCTTGTCCTTTCCTTGTCTCTCACCTTCTCCTTCTCCGGCTCCTCATGCTCTCGGGACCCCCGTCCTTTCTCTCCTCTCCCTTCACCAACCCTTCTCTCCCTTCAGTCTCAAGATAACTTCCCACTTTCCATTTTGAATCTTCCAGATCCCAGAAATGGCTGTTGTACACATACCCTGGGCTGGGAGCTTCTTGGAGCCAGGAAGCGGCCTGTGACCTAGGTCAAGTCCTCTCCTGCTCCTGGGCCTTGGGTTCCCATGGGAGATCTGGGGGCAAGAGGGAATGGGGCCGGGGGGGGGGGGGGGGACGGGTGGCCTGAGGCAGATCTAGGTGGCAGCAAGGCAGCACCACCCACTGACAGTTGGTGCGTTCTGAGAAAAAGTGGGGGGTGGGGCTGGGCACAGATACAAAATTGCATTTTCTCTCCTCTCTGATTCATTTGCTCTTTTCCAAATTCCAGAAGGAATGCATGCAAGTGAGCAATCCTCTACAAATATGTATTAGAGCAGATCCCAGCTTGTCCCGGCCCCACCCCTCCCAAAACGCACTCTCTTGAGAGACCCCAGGTCACGGCTTTCCCTGACTCAAAGTCAGACACGCAGAGTTGAACATATGTAAGGTATTGGTTTGTTGGTGGATGTTTTCCCTGAGACAGAAACAAAATAAGCCCATTTCTCTGCAACTGGCTTTTTTTTTTTTTCCACTTAACTTTAGCTCCCCGGCATCCAGAGATATGATTCTATCTTTAGTTTCTTCTCTAAATTCTTTATGCCAACACTCACACTCACACACATATATATTCACTTCCAGAGGTTGCTGCAGCAAGCGACGTAGGGCGGCTCCTTTGCTCCCTGGCCGGCCGGCGAGGGCTGTTGGACAGATTGGGGCAGGCAGAACGGGGCGTGCCGGCCACTGTCCACGGCCCTCTGGGCACCCGGTCTGTCCGGACTGGATATTTGACAAATATTTCCTGAGCACAGAGTCTCTGTTCTGGGCACTGGGGATCTATATATACGTGGCCATGAGCAAGCCAGATGAATCAAGGCGCTCTCAAGGAGCCTCTATCCTAGTGGGATGGAGAGAGATCACAACCTAAAAACAGGCAAATAAGTAAACAGGTAATTTCAGAGAGTGACAACGAGTAGTGTAAAGAAATTAAGAGTGACTTCAGGGACGAGCTGACCATGGGAGCTCTGGGGGTTGAGAGAGCCCTCTCTGAGCTGCAGGGAGCGGGGTTCAGACTGAAAGGAGAGAAGTCAGCCTTTAAAAGATCCTGAGGAAGCAGTGGAGGCAAAGGTCCTGAGGTGGGAACCAGCAGAAAGGAACAGCCAATGTGTAATGGAAAGTTCCAGGGCTCTTGGCTCAGCGTCTGGAGTCCAGGCATCTGTCCTGGGAAGGCCCCTACACTTGGAGGTCAGCAGAGAGGAAGGGGGCTCTGGGCTCTGGGGCTTCCAGCCCCTTCTCACCAGCTCTTCCCGGCCAGAGCCACACCCCCTCCCAATGCATTCCCCAGCCCTCCCTGGGTCCAGCTTCACTCCCGCCACAGCTCCCTGAGTGACCGCCACAAGTCACACACCCTTGTGGGCCTCGGCTTCCCCTCGGTGGGTTCCAGAACTGTGGAATCCACGCCTTCCCTCATTGGAGGGTCCCAGCTTCACCAAAGTTCCCCCTGTGAGGGGTAGCAGGAGGTGCTTATCTCCAACCCAAGGCCCTCCATCTTGTTAGAAATCTCTTTCTCTCTTAAGGGGAGGAAGCTCACCTACCAGTGACCTTCATCCCTTGACTTACCAAGCAGGTGTGAGGGCTGCTAGTGCAGACTGACAGGGACCCGAGTGGTCCTTCTCGTCACCACTGGCCCCCCAGACCGGCTGGGGCACCTGCCCCATCATCATCCCATCAGCCAGCGCACGTGAGGGCTGTTGGCAAGCACTCAGCTAGCAGGCTCTGCACTGAACCTGTTGCTTGGGTGACCTCTCTTCATCCTCCCCGCCACCCACAGCGTGGTGCAGGAGGCCCAGGGATCGTCCCCATTTACACAGGGAGAAACTTGAGTCCCAGGGCTGTGAAGGAATTTGTGCAACTAACTGGCAGCACGGGACTCGAACCCCGGCAGCCCGGGTCCCCAGTCTGTTCTTTCAGCGGCCCAGTTACGCTAGCTGGGCGGTGTCAGAGCAGATGTTGACAGGGCATCTGTACATGAGTCACCGACTCAACTCCGGTGGGTGCAGCGCACAGAGCAACGGATGCCCCGCCCCCACCCTGGGGGACTGACACCGAACCAGGGATAGCAATAGATGTTTCTTAAAAAAGAAGGAACAGCTAACATTTATTAGACCCTTTCTGCACGCTAAGTGCTGAGCTAAACATTTTGCTTGCACGTTCTCATGGACTCCCTGACAAAACCCTCAGAGGGAAGGACTGTTGTGTTTTTCCCCCCTTTTAATAGATGGGGAAACTGAGGCTCAGACTGTCCAGGGTTCACCCAGCCAGGAAATGGTGGGGCAGACATCTGATCTCCTAGCACAGATTCCTCCTGGCTTTCTTATCCAGTCTCTCAAGAGCATTCATTCTCCCTACAAACACTTCCCTGTTCTGGGCTAAGCCCAGCTCTGGGGGACACAGCCAAGACACTGTCCCAGCTGAGTCAGAGGGTATCCAGTAGAAAGCGTTGAGACTGTCTGTCTTGAACAGTCAGGGAGGCCCTCCTGGAGGAGGGGGCACTTGAGTTTGGGGCTTGAAGAATGAGTAGGAGTTCAAGAGTGGAAGACATGTGTTGTAGGGATCTATTTACGTTCACTCTTTCAACAAATATTTCCCAAGGCCTTCCAGGGTCACGCCGTATGCTGGGAGATGCTGAGGATACAGACCTGAGTCAGCCCCAGGGTCTGCCCTCAAGAAACTTCTAGTCTGAAGGGGGAAACAGACACAGGTGGCCACCATGGTGTGATGTGAGCTCTAATGGCGCTAGTCCAGGCATTGTGGGAATACAGACCAGGCTTGGAGGGGGTAGGGAGGGCTTCCCAGTATTAAGGGAGAGTTTTCCAAACAGAGTTCCTACAGACTGGCTCTCACGAGCACCAGCTTGTTTATTTATACATTAAACATCTTCCGAGGCCTCCTGTGGGCCAAGCCCAGAGCCAGCAATGCTGGAACCCTGGAGGGGGGTCAGACCGACGCCCCTCCCTGGGGGGCTCCCATGTGGTGAGGGAAGCAGGCTCAGACAGGATCTGGGGTGATCAGGACAAGGCAGAGGGAAGAGCCGTGCTCAGGGACAGAGTGGGTGATGGAATGACTAACCCGACCTGTACCTCCACTTACTGAAGCCCAGAAAAGGGAAGGGACTTGCCCAAGGTCACACAGCGGCAGGGGGGGTGGGGGAAGGGGGTCCTGATCCTGGAGCCTGGGAGTTGTGTGAGACAGGCATGCAGACCCATGACATCCAAATGTATAGACACAGGGACCAAGAATCCAAGACCCGCCTGAGACATGGATTCCTTCATCACTTATCTCCTGGGACTGCCCTCTAGCTGAGTCTGGAGCGGGGCATGCTGGGGACACAGATGGTCTGGGCCAGGCTCTGCCCTGGAGGAGCAGGTGGGGGAGGCCGATGACTCTGATCCAAGGTGCCCTGGGAACAGGGCAGGAGCTCCTATGTGCCGTCTCTCCTAGGAGAGGCCTCGTTATACTAGACCCCTGGGGAAGGAGAAGCATTTTTCGTCATAAACTGTAGAACAGAGGGTCAAGGAGAAAAGTGGGGAACGCAGAGCTGGGCCACATACACGCACTAGGGGAGACAAAGCAGGAGAGTGACCCCAGGGCCCCAGACCCAGGTTGAGGGGCTGGGCCTTTGTCCTGGGGGCAGTAGGGAGCCACGGGAGCAGGGGGGCCGCTCTGAGTGTTGGAAAGATCCCTCTGGAAGGAATGTGTGTCTATCTCTCTTTCTGTCTGTCGGGACATAGGATTGAGGTCCTGCCTGCCCATGTCTGTGGGCTTAGCTCCCGCGGGCAGCAGCTGGGTGTAGTCCAGGGCTTAGCCCGGGAGCCCTGGGTCCCTGCCGCTTGAGGGGACCTTGGACAGCTCCGTCTTCAACTCTAGGCCTCCTGTAACCTTGGAGGTTGGGCGTCTTTGGGCGAGGTGGGGGGATTGTGCCCCCGGCGGGGCATCGGGCAATGTCCAGAGGCACTTGTGGCGGTCACCCCTGTGAAGTGGGGGGAAGCTACTGGCATCGACTGGGTAGAGGCCAGGGATGCTGCTGAACATCCTGTGGGGCGGAGTCCCCACAGTCCCTCGTGGGGTCCCCACAGCGGAGAAGCATCTGGCCCCAAACGTCGTGGGCCCAACGTGGAGAAGCCCGGGCTTAGCAGTGTGTGAGCAGGAGTATGACAGGTCCTGTGGCATGTGCGCTCGGATGTGTGTGTGATCTGATCGTCAGTGACAGCGTGACTGCGTGTGCCCGATTCTTGGCCCAGGGCGGCTCCTTTGTATTTGACAGGCTCTGACAGTCTAACTGTTTCCTTGCACTCTGTAGCTTTCTGCATGACTTTCCAGAGTGCAGGGGCGGGGGGTGGTGAGCATGGCCCTTGGGCTTATAGTGTCAGCATGACTGATGAGGCCAGTGTGTGTGTGTGTGTGTGTGTGTGTGTGAGAGAGAGAGAGAGAGAGAGAGAGAGAGAGAGAGAGAGAGACGGCCCCTGGATGTGGCTGTAACTGGTTGTATGTGGACTGCACCTGCGTGTGTGGGGCTCTTAGTGTTGGTGCAACAGCATGGGTCTAGTTGTATATGGTGGGGTGACCTTCTGCTGGGGCTGGGTGCTGGGCTGTGTGTCAGCAGGAGCATGTGTGCGCCCGGGCCCTTGAGCAGGCCCCATTGCCATCCGGTGTTGGAGTGTCGGACTGTCTCCTGGCCCAGCCCGGTCTCTGGGTGTCTCCCCTGGGCCCTGGCGATGTGTCTGTGTCTGTGTGTGTCCATCTCCCGGCCGTCTCCTGCTGTTACCAGGGCTGTGTGTGGCAGCGTCCACTCTGCACAGCTCGGGGGAAGGCAGGCCCCTTCCCTGCATCCAAGAGTGACTCCGGCCACAGTGAGGGGCTGCAGGGCCCACCCCAAAGCCCCGGGACCTGGGGAGCCCACCGCACTGGCCCTGCCCCAGCCCAGTCCTGAGGGGCTGCTGATGGAGAGGGCCCCCGGGAGTCGTTGGGGCGGCACGGGCAATTAATTCATTAGATTAATTAGCTCCTCATGCCAGGGCGGTGGCAGGGCAGCCCCACGCAGGGCCCTCCTTCCCCAGGCATCCAAGGTCATCCAGCCTCCTCTCCCCTGCCCGGTGCTGGCTGCATCCGCCTCCACATGCCCAGCCCCCACTCCCTGGACCTGGTCCAGCCCACTGGCCACGGTCCACGGAGATGAATAGGTGGGGGTGGGGGCTCTGCCGGGCAATGGTGCCCATGAGCTGTGCTGGAGGGTGCGGGCAGGCATGGGCATGTGCCTGCGAGTGTGCCCTGTGAGCGTGGGCAGGTGGGTGTATCTGGAGACGCATGTGTGGGGCTGTACACAGGGCCCGAGGGTGTATCTGTGCGTCTGGGATAGGTGTGTGTCCGAGTGGACACACGCATGCATCTGTGTTTCTGAATTGATACGTGCCACAAGTATCTGCGTGTACGTACGTATGCATCATGAGCTGGATGTGTTTGTGTGCCCCTGTACGTGTGCACCTGTGCGTTCTTGAACTTCGAGCGTGTGTGTGTGTGTGCACACGGTGTGTGTGTGTGTGTGTGTGCGCACACGGTGTGTCTGTGTGCTGTAATTGGAGTGTCTCTGGAGGAGTGTAGGCTTGTGTGTCCCAGTCTGTCTGAGTCAGTGTGAGCTTGCAGAAAGGAACATGTTGCGTGTGTTTGCGCCGAGCGCGTCTGCTGTGCATCTCTGGAAACACCGATGAATGTGTGTGCCAGGGAGTGTGGGAAATGTCTGTGTCTGCAAGGGCATGTGCGCATGCGTGCAGACGTGTCCAGGCCCTGCTGAGCTGCCCCTCCCGTCCGCAGGGCTGCTGTCCCAGAGCCTGGAGTTCAGCTCTCCTGCGGACAACTACACGGTGTGCGAAGGTGACAACGCCACCCTCAGGTACCTCCTGTCTCGGCGACTCCGAAATCACCCGGTCCTGCTCCTTTGCCTTCCTTGGGGGAAGACAGTCCTGACCCACACGCACAGCCTGGCCCCTGTCGGTCAGGAAAAGTAGTCAGAGGCATGGACTCTAGGCCTGGCTCTGTGCCTGGGCCTCAGTGGCCCCATCTGTCAAATGGGTGGAGGAATGATAACCGCTGTGAGGGCTCTCATGGGGATTCAAGATTTTGTACTCACACTCCGAGTCCAGAGAGCACGGCACACTGTGACCGCTTAGCAGACGAGAGGCGGGCTTGTTTCCTCCGGACAATGCTGCTCCCCACACTGGGTCTGCCCCGCCCTCTGGTCTCTGTCCCCCTCTCCCTGGGTCTCTCTCCCTCATCTCTGCAACTCTCTCTCTCCTAGAGTGCTCCAGATCCTTTTCCAGTCTCTAGCACACAACAGTCACTCAGTAACCATCAGCTAACCTTCCTCTGTGCCCTTGGGCTCAAACTTGAGGCTCAGTTTACCCACTTGTGAAGTGGGCACACTCCCCTCTGCCTCACAGGGCCTCAGCGGGAATTGGTAATGCAGTAGGCCTTCCTCACCCCACCTCCGAGCCCCTACGATGGCGGAACCTGGAGGGCCTTCTGGGGTGGGGGAGAGAAGAACCCTCCTCCCTTGTCCTCCCCGAAGCTGCTTCATTGACGAGCACGTGACCCGCGTGGCCTGGCTGAACCGCTCCAACATCCTGTACGCGGGCAATGACCGCTGGACCAGTGACCCGCGGGTGCGGCTGCTCATCAACACGCCCGAGGAGTTCTCCATCCTCATCACCCAGGTGGGGCTCGGCGACGAGGGCCTCTACACCTGCTCCTTCCAGACCCGCCACCAGCCGTACACCACTCAGGTCTACCTCATCGTCCATGGTGAGCCCTCAGCCGGGCCTTGGGTGGCGGAGGGCGTGGAGGGCGCGAGGGAGCAGGAATCCTTGCATCCTCACCCCTTGTTCGATCCCTGATCCCGGGGATACATGGTGTGAAAGGCAGGCCCACACCCTGCCCTCGCGGATTTCAGCCAAGCAAAGGGAGGGACAGTCTCCCAGAAAGTGACACTTCAGCCTGACAGCTTCTAGGGCAGGAGAGCTGCAGGGGTGAGGGGGTGCTCAGGGAAGGCTGCAGCCATCCACTCAGCTCTGTTTACTGCGCACCTACTATGTGCAGGCACTGCTCTAGGCCCCGGGGGATGGAGAAAGAGCCAGGCAGGCCGTTCCTGCCCTTTTGAAGTCGGCTTTCTAAGGAGGTGGCTTCCCAGACATAATGTCTGAGCTGAGACCTTCAGCTGGGGGCAGAGCTGGTACTGGAAACGGAGTGGCGCTGCAGGGGCCAGGGGAGAAAATGAGTCAGGTGCGCAGAACAGGTCCCGCGTGGCTGGATGCCCTAGAATTCAGAGAGCGAGAGGTGGGCAGGAGACAGAGAGAGCAACAGGGGACAGAGCTCAGGTGGCTGGAGGGCAGGGAGCAGTTGGAGAGACAGGGAACCAGAGACAGAGACAGCCCAGCGGGGCCCTGACGAGCCCCGACTCGGGAGCCAGACCACCCAGGTGCTGAGGGACCCTGAGCAAACAGGGCGGCCTCGGACTCCTCATCTGCAAAATGGGGATGACTCTGTCATGCATCAAATCCAAGACATGGGCAACTGCAAGGGGCATCTTTATTTTATGCTCTGCCAAAAAAGAAAAGAAAAGTAGCCCTGCCAGTTAAACTCCAGCATCCTATGTTGTCAGGCCATCCTGATTGGAGCAATGTTCCAGCGGGTGCGGGAAACAGCCACGTGTGTTAGAATTGACGAATATAGCACCATCTACCCCAGGAGTTGGCAGGGTGGTGAAGGTTTAATGAGCTAATATGGGTAAAACACTTAGAACAGGGGTACCATGCCGGAAGCACCATATGAGTATTTGTCATAGAAACTAATTGTTTAAAATCAGAATGATAACAATAATTAATAAAAGTAGACAGAGATAAGGTGAGAGGAATTCAAACCAGAAGGCAGAGAAACCAAGTTAGGATGAAGGGAGAGAGAGAGACAGAGACAGAGACTGAGAAAGAACAGGAAAGAGAGAGACCAGCAGTTAGACAAGGAGCCAGACCTAGAGGGGCAAGGGGGAAACACCGAGGAGTTCTCAGGAAGACAGAGGGCATGTTGGCTGGACCCCTGGGTCTAAGGGAGGAGGGGCTGGGGTCCAGGGCTCCTGGGTCCTGGGAGGCCATATTCAGCCTCTCGCTGACCTCTCCCCTGCCGGCCGGCAGTCCCCGCCCGCATCGTGAACATCTCCTCGCCTGTGACGGTGAATGAGGGGGGCAACGTGAACCTGCTTTGCCTGGCCGTGGGACGGCCGGAGCCCACAGTCACCTGGAGGCAGCTCCGAGGTGAGGACCCCACCCCTGGCCCAAAGCCCCTTTCCCCGCTCCACGATCTGGGCCCCTCGATTCCCCATATCCCTAGCTCGATTCCCAGAGTCCCCCCTTCCATGACTTGCTTCCCTCCCTCCACCCTGATCCCATTATGTCACCAGCAGCCCCCAGAGCCTTAGAGCCTTCACCACCTGCAGGCCTGAACCGTTCCCCCTAACTCAACTGCTAGACCCCAGCCTGCACCCTGTCCCCACCCCAGGAGCCCTGGTCTCTTCCCCACCAGCTCACATAATTCTGGGTTCTGAATCCCTACCACTAACCCTAGGTCACGTTCTAACCAGTGACCCCTGCCCCCGTTCCCATCTCCTGGTCACCTCACTACGTCTCCTCTGCGGGACGCTCTAGCTCAGCGGTTCTCAAAGCGTGGTCCCCAGACCAGCAGCATCGGCATCACCGGGAGCTTGCCAGAAACGCACGTTCTGGGCCCGTCCCAGGCCTAATGAATTAGAACCTCCCTCCACCCACCGCCCCCACCAGTCTGTTTTAACAAGCCCTTCAGGTGATTCTGGTGACGGAGCTGAGAACCTCTACTCTAGGATCCCCCCGAACATAGCACCAAGATACCTGAACAGGACACCCCAGATCCTGGATATCCACCACCCTTTTACCTGGGTCTCCGTCCCCATCCCCCGGATGCCTGGACCCTCATTCACTGGGTCTTTAGAGACCAATGGTGCCAATCACTCTATCCCCTGAGACCCCCGAACCTCATAACTAGGTCTCAGATCCTGGATCCTTTCCCACCTGGTCATCTGAGCCCCACAATCCTGGGCTTGAGACCGTGGGTCCCTGGATGCCCTTAGTCCCAAAGGATCTTCTGAACCTGGTGATGTGTCATGAGCCCCCAGGTATAAGGATTGCTGATCCCAATTACTAGATCCTGATTCCCTGAACCCAAGAATAAGATCCCAGAACTCTGGACCCGCCCCCTTGGGTCTGTGTTATCTGGATCTTTCTGAGCTCCAAGATCCTGGGATCCTCCCCACTGGGTACTGTGAGCCTCATGATCTGAATCGTGGGCTCCCGCATCCCTGGATCTGTTGCATCCCCAAATTCTAGGACCCTCCCCATTGGGTTCTAGTCACAAGCCCCAGACCCTCATTCCCTGCCCCACCCCTGGCGGGAGATCGCAGGCGGCGGACCCACACCCCCGCCCCAAACCCCTGCAAACGCCTGCTGGCTCTCACTGACCCGGGCTACTCCAGGCCCTGCGGTGCCTGCCCGGCTGATGTGTGTCCGTGTTGTGCCCGTGTTGTCCCGTGTTAAGTGTTTGTGTCCGGCCCCGCCCCCTCCCCTTCCCTCCCCGCACAGACGGCTTCACCTCGGAGGGCGAGATCCTGGAGATTTCTGACATCCAGCGAGGCCAGGCCGGGGAATATGAGTGCGTGACGCACAACGGCGTGAGCTCGGCACCTGACAGCCGCCGTGTGCTGGTCACAGTCAACTGTGAGCCCTTTGGCCCTGGGCATGAAAGGGGGGCAGGCCCAGGGTCCCTGGGGAGGAGGATGGGGGTGCTGGACTCTTGGGAAGGAGGCGGATGGGGAGAGAACCCCTTAGTCCTCACCTCGTTGGAGAATTCACTAACTCTCGCCCTCGCCAGACCCTCCGACCATCACGGATGTGACCAGCGCGCGCACGGCCCTGGGCCGGGCCGCCCTTCTGCGCTGCGAAGCCATGGCGGTGCCCCCCGCGGACTTCCAGTGGTACAAGGACGACAGACTGTGAGGACAGCACCGGGGCGGGCCAAGGGGGAGGTGGGGAAGGTAGCCGAGCCCTAGGTCCCGAGAACTGGGGAATCCAGCTTCCAGGGGATGGGGTCCGCTGGGCCCCAGCGAGATCGCGGGGGCTTACTGGAAACTTGGGTCCCACAATGATGAATGTTGGAAGCTTGGTCTCTTCAGGCTATTCAGGGAGATGTTCGGGGGTCGATGCTGAGGATGTGGCGGGGAAGCTTCAGAGGACCCTTGGGGTGGGGGTCCAGCAGGGTCTGGGAGGCTGTAGAGGTTGGGGGCACACGCTGGGAGAGTCCAGTGACCCTGAGGGGCAGGGGTGCCTGTGGGAGTGGTCTGGGGACCCACGGACAGCTAGAGCCCGAAGCCAGGGATCTCTGGGGCAGGGGGCAGAATGCGGGGTCCCCGGGAAATCCGGGAGCCTGAGAGTCGGGGGCAGTGGGCTCTGCGCCCCGAGGGGGTCCCGGGCCAGGGTTCCACGGCCCGGTCCCTGACCCGGATCCCCGGCAGGCTGATCAGCGGCACAGCCGAGGGCCTGAAGGTGCAGACGGAGCGCACCCGCTCGATGCTTCTCTTCGCCAACGTGAGCGCCCGGCATTACGGCAACTACACCTGTCGCGCTGCCAACCGGCTGGGAACGTCCAGCGCTTCCATGCGGCTCCTGCGTGCGTCCGAGAGGCAGGGGCGGGGCCGGGCGGGGGGCGGGCCCGGGACTGCCCCTGACTGACCGCGGACTTGGGAAAGTGACGGACGCTGAGACCCAAGCAATGGGACTGAGCGAGAAACCCATCCCTTCCATGAGTGTCGATTCATTGAGTGCCCACTAGGGGGCGGAACCGAGACTTGAATGGTAAGCAGCAGCCAGCCTTGCCAAGATCTGCGGGAAGAGCTTTGCGGGCGGAGGGAACGGTGTATGTATGCAAAGGCACAGTAAGGAGGCTAGCATGACCTGAGCAGAGTGATCACCGTGGAGCCTGAGGCTAAAGAGGAAGGGAGAGGCAGAGTCCCATGGGCCACGGAAAGGATTTTGGATTTTATTCTACTGCAGGGTGAGGCCGCTGGAGGCTATTAAGCGAGGGACTGACCAAGCGGTTGACGCTTCTAAAGAGAAACACTGTTTGAGGAACGGCCTGTAGGGGGCGCAAGATGGAGGCAGAGGGACCAGGGAGGAGGAGGCTTCTGCAGGAATCGAGGGCCCCCCCCCCCCCCCCCCGAGCAGTAGCACAAAGTCTCTCTATCGGGGCGATGTTTTGAAGGTGGAGGGAAGAAGGAAGTGGAGTCGTGGCGATCCCAGGTGTTGGCTCGAGTAGCTGGGTGGATGGGGAGGTAGTAGCAAAGTGCTGAAGCGGAGAGGTATCGGGGAGGGGGCAGGGGGCAGTCTCGGGGAGAGGACCCAAGGGCACCATCTCGGCCGCGCTGACTGCAAGACGACGCTTCGTAGCCGTCCTGGGTAGACGTAAACGGTGCGGTGTGAAGATCTGAGACAGGGAATAAGAGAGAGGGCCTGAGTGGCCGAGAGCGAGAACGTTCAGCAAGATGCTAAGACTCGGAACAGAGTGGGGGGAGCAGGCACACTGAGCGAAAGCCCCAGAAAGGCCCCCTAGAGAGGGAGGCTCGGAGACACCCTCAGAGACAGGGCGGCCCCAGGGCACCGCTGGACACACATGGGGTCTCCCCTTCCCCGGCCACTCCTGTGACCCTCTCTCTTTCCCCCAGGCCCCGGATCCCTGGAGAACTCAGCCCCGAGGCCCCCGGGGCCCCTGACCCTCCTCTCGGCCCTGGGCTGGCTGTGGTGGAGGATGTAGGAAGAACCCAGCGCAGCCCGCCTCCCCCTGCGCGGGGCCTGAGGCCGGGAGCGAGAGAAGAAGGGAGAGCAAGCGCCGTGGGTCTCGAGGGGGCGGAAGAGCTCTCTGCCACCGAGGAGGAAGAAGGGAGGAAGAGGAGGAAAGCTCTTTAGAGAACCCATCACTGTGAGGGATAACGCAAAATTATGCATCTTTCTACAGCCATTTTCGCCACCGTTCACGTTTCCGGTTATGACCCACCCCCGGCCACCCCACACCCCTCTCTTAGCTCAGGCTGTCAACTGGATCGTGTGTATGGAGTGCGTGTGTGTGCGCATGAGCCTGCACGTGTGTGTGTGTGTGGCGGGGGGAGGGGCTCAGCAATCTTCCCTCCCCTAAGACCCCCAGCCCACTGCCCCCAGTGCTGCTGCCTCTCACCTCTGGCTGGAGGTAGGTATGTGGGCTTCGTGGCGGAAGCTGTGAGGAGAGGTTTTCCAGGCTCCCCGGGTTCCCAGTATATGCACGCGCACCCCCCCCCCCCCCC